TGCAAAAATCGAATTAGGAATCAAGGGGTAAGTCCAAATTTATATATTTATCAAGAAAAAAAGAAAACTTGGGCAAGCCGATAAGTATATGAACTACATTTTGGCTTTTAAATTTTCAAAAATAATGAAGATGTCTAAACAAATTTTAAATAATCAACTTTTAAAATATACAATATAAAAAATTTTAATTAATAAAGTTCATTGTTTTTTTTTTTTTAATATTTCTATATAATAATAATATTTTAAATAATATGTTCAATTTTGTTCACAGACGTGAAGGACGTGATTTGCTTACTTTACCTTTTAATAAAATTATGCAAATATTTAAAATATGTATGTGTATACTAATAATAATATTTTGTAAATAAATAAAAAATTATGAAAACTAATTTTTTCAATGGAGTTTGATTTCTTGTTCTAAGAAAAATTATTTCTCATTTTGAGAAAAGGTATTTTAAGTTTTAAGAAACATTATATTTTATTTTAAAAAATATTATTTATTATTTGGCAAAAAAAATTTTTTTGTTTGAAGAAAGGAATAACCATTAATTTACGAAATAAACTTTCATCAAATGAAGGTGACTCGCCTTTAGTAAAAAATTCAATGACGATTTTACTAGATTTTAGGGAGAAATTTCTTTGAGTGCAAGGGAACAATAAAAATATTCAAAAAACCTTTGTTTTTTAATATAACTTTTTTATTTTGTAATTTTTTTTTAAATTCTTTTCGACTTTTTAATAATTTGACAGTTCAGAGTTACGCTTTTCATTTTATTAATAACGGAAAACGATTTCATAAAGCTTCCATAGAATATATCGAATAATTGAGCTGCAAATCATCAATGTTTTTAAACATATACGCAAGTAAATTATAATTTTAATGTTTTCAAGAATATTTAATTTTTGCAATAGCTGCAGGGGTATATGAACTTCGGCTTGCCTAAGTTTGCTACCTTTCTTGTTTTTAACTCATTCTGATAACAACTGTTCTCTATTTAAAAATCTTTGTAAATATTTCCTCATTTTGGGCATCTTATATTCAATTTGATTTTTATTACTTAAAATGAGTAAAAATAATTCTCAATATGAGAATATCCCCAATTTGAGTATTCAAATCTTCAATTTCTGAACATTTTTAAGGAAAGTACTTAGTAAAATGGCCTGAAATTTTTTGCACATAACAGGGCAAGCTTTCAACTTTATTTTAATATATTTGTTTTATAAAAATATGGAAATATAACGATACTATGGGCTGACTACAGAGAGTCAAAAACAAGAAAGAAAGCAAACTTCGGCAAGCCGAAGTTCATATACCCTTGCAGCTATTGCATGAATTAAATACTTTTGAAAACATTTAAATTATGATTTACTTGAGTATATACTGAAAAACAGTGAAGCTATGATGATTTGCAGCTCAATTATTAGATAGTTATTTTATATATTTTTATTAGTTCTATGGGAGCTATATGATATAGACGTCCGATTTTGATAAAATTTAAACCATAATTCTGAAATAATTAAACATTGCCATATGTCGAAGAACTAAACAAAAAATTAAAAAACAGAAAATTATAATTTTTTTTCATTTATTTCTCCGATTGTTCCTATGGGACCTATATGATATAGTCGTCCGACTTTGATGAAATTTAAACCGTAAATCGAAAATATTTAACCATTACTAAATGTCGAAGAACTAAACAAAAAATTAAAAAACAGAAAAGTTATAATTTTTTTTCATTTATTTTTCCGATTGTTCCTATGGGAGCTATATGCTATAGTCGTCCGATTTTGATGAAATTTAAAACGTAAATCGGAAATATTTAACCATTACTAAATGTCGAAGAACTAAACGAAAAATTAAAAAACAGCAAAGTTATAATTTTTTTTCATTTATTTTTCCGATTGTTCCTATGGGAGCTATATGCTATAGTCGTCCGATTTTGATGAAATTTAAACCGTAAATCGGAAATATTTAACCATTACTAAATGTCGAAGAACTAAACAAAAAATTAAAAAACAGCAAAGTTATAATTTTTTTTCATTTATTTTTCCGATTGTTCCTATGGGAGCTATATGCTATAGTCGTCCGATCCGGCTCGTTCCGACTTATATACTACCTGCAATAGAAAGACAGCTTTTGGGAAAGTTTCATGCAGATAGTTTTAAAACTGAGAGACTAGTTTGCATATAAACGGACGGACAGACGAAAGGAAAGACGGACATGGCTACATCGACTCGCCTAGTGATGCTGATCAAGAATATATATACTTTATAGGGTCGGAGATGTCTCCTTCACTGCGTTGCAAACTTCTGACTGAAATTATAATACCCTCTGCAAGGGTATAAAAATACAAAAAAAATTAAAACTTTGCTGTTTTTTAATTTTTTGTTTAGTTCTTCGACATATAGCAATGGTTAAATATTTCAGAATTATGGTTTAAATTTTATCAAAATCGGACGACTATATCATATAGCTCCCATAGAAATAATAAAAATATGTAAAATAACTATCAAATAATTAAGCTGCAAATCATCATAGATTTAATGTTTTTAAACATATACGCAAGTAAATCATAATTTTAATGTTTTCAAAAATTTTTAATTCTTGCAATAGCTGCAAGGGTATATGAACTTCGGCTTGCCGAAGGTTGCTTTCTTTCTTATTTTATTCTACTTATAGTTTTATAAGTATATACTTTTTCTGGTGAACTAATATACCTTATGAATAGTTTATATTTTGTAGATTATATTTCATTTTTCTATGAACGTGAGGATCAATAACTTTGGTGGGATTGGCTAAAGCCTGGGTGGGATTTAGATTGGGAAATGATGAGGATCGTTGTGCCGAGAGAGAAGGGCATAGGGAAAGGATATGGTGAACGTCTAGAGGAGCGTTGTTGCACAGTGGGCATGTGTTCGGTATTGAACGGTCAAGATAGTGTGCGTTTGTCATCTTTGTGTGGCCAAGTCGCAAGCGGGTGATTACAATTTGTTGTCTTCTATTAAGTTCTGGGAAGTTATGAGGGAAGTTGGGTGGTGATAATTTGGATATGTAGTGGTACCATGTCGAGGTTTTGTTTATTAATTCTGTGTATTTGTGTTTTTATGATTTTTTGAGGTTCTGTGTGATATCTCTGGAGTTGTGATTGTCTGTGTATGTAAGGGGTTCTCTAATTGGTTTTTTTGCTTCAGAGTCCGCTGTTTCGTTTCCTTTGATGCCAACATGGCTTGGTATCCATATTATTATTATTTTGGGAAAGTGTTTGGAAAGTAGATTACGGATAGAGGTAATGAAGGAAAGGGAGTCTGAACATATGGCGTGCTTGCCTCTTTTTTTTATACAGATTTGTGCACCTTGGTAGATGGCTATTATTTCGCAGGAAAGCAAAGCAAAGTTACAATTTTTTTGTATTTTTTTTCCGATTGTTCCTATGGGAGCAATATGATATAGTCGTCTGATTTTGATGAAATTTAACCGTAATTCTGAAATATTTATCCATTACTATATGTTGAAGAACTAAACAAAAAAATTAAAAAACAGCAAAGTTATAATTTTTTTTATTTATTTTTTCGATTGTTCCTATGGGAGCTATATGCTATAGTCGTCCGATCCGGCTCGTTCCGACTTATATACTACCTGCAATAGAAAGACAACTTTTGGGAAAGTTTCATGCAGATAGTTTTAAAACTGAGAGACTAGTTTGCGTAGAAACGGACGGACAGACGGACGGACAGACGGACATGGCTAGATCGACTCGCCTAGTGATGCTGATCAAGAATATATATACTTTATAGGGTCGGAGATGTCTCCTTCACTGCGTTGCAAACTTCTGACTGAAATTATAATACCCTCTGCAAGGGTATAAAAAGCAAGCCTTTGAAGTATTGAAATTTAATTGCATTAAATTATAATAATTAAAATATCGGAAATAAATTAAATAAAAGTAATGATTATATTATATATTTGCTAAAATGTTTATTAAACTTTATTATCTTTGCCACGATACTTTTGTTCTGTTGACTCCAATTTATTTGATTCCATCAGTATTTCACTTCCTAGCAGCTCGAAAGATTGACTGTTTCTGCAACTCTTTCATTTCCCGTCGAAAGGCTTTCACCTCCTCCTTGGCCACAATTGAAAGGACACTGGGTGAGAGACAATCGTCCTTGGAGCCGAACAACTTCCGCACATCGTCGATCTCGAAACCCTTGAGCAGCACCGTCGATTCCATGGTCAGTAGAACCACTGTCACCGCCGAGTGATTGACTTTCTCCACAATCCAAGCCCGCTCATCGCTCACAGCATTGAGCAGTTTCTGGCAGATTGCATCCACCAGGAATTGCAGAGCTCGAAAGACGGGGAACCAAATGACCACCAATAGCACTTGTATTGTTAGACAAAGGAACGCAACCTCAAGGATTTTAGCCACAACACTTTGAATGATATTTAGGTTGTACTTCAATTTCAATTTATGCAGCAAAATTATGGCGAGAATTAAAAAAACAGTTGATTCCGTACTGGCCTCCACCGGATTGTAAAAGAGGCCTGTGCAATGGCAAAATATCGAAAAAAGCAGGGCACTAATAAAAGTGGGTTCCATTTTTTGTTTGTGTAAAAAAATTCAAAAATTTACAAAAGAACCGACAATTTTCCTCACTACTTTGTTGGATTGGTGCAGAATTACTGTCACTTTTCGAAGCGGATGTGAATTTATAAACTTGGCCAACTTATGTTTAACTTTTCTAATTTACAAATAATATTCATTAATGATGGTAAACAAATCAAATCAAATAATATTAAAATAGCCAAAAATACATTTCACAAGCGTTTTAAATTATAAACGTATTTTTTACACAATGAACTTTATGCACAAAGGATTAAATTAAGATCCAAATGATTTTTTCATTTACACATTAATGAATTAATTTTAAATATTAATACTAAAATGAAGTTTATTCTTGAACACAGTAAGCTTTGTTTTTTTAGACTTCCACTTTCAAAGCGTTTGAATGCTCTTGGAATTCTCCGCAAAAAAAGAAAATAATTTTATTTTAATTAATTTTTAAAAGTACTTTGCAACATGATGCCGATTTCGCTAAGGAGTAGGCCGATAATGAAACGTGTAAGCTGTTGGGTGTATAAGTGTATCAAATAATATAGAATTAATATATTTATGAATCTTAAGAGGATGAGTATAAGTGGAGCTAGGCCTTTGCCTAACCATGCCATAGAGAAAATCAAGCAGCGCAATTTTCCTGAAAATCTCGATCTGAGTAACCGTAGTACCGATGATGGACTAAGACGTCCAATGGGTGATATGTACGGCTGGAATGGAAACAATTCTGGTGGACAATTGGGTTTGAGTCGCAATGCTCCTCCACCGCCGCAGAATCTCGATTGGAGTTCCTCCGGTCCCAGACGCAATCTCTCTCCCGTTGGCATGTATGATCGCAATTTGTCCACCAACATGATGGGCTATGGAAACTTTGAGAATCAACGGCCCAGAGGTCGTGAATCCAATGAGTTTATTCCAAACTCGTATGCAGGAAGTCGTGAGCCGAGCGTTTTATTCCGAATGATAACTTTTCACAACCAATGGGTTTTCGAAACATTCAGGAAGCAATATTTCGCAACAAACCGTTGATGGGTAATCAGCATTCCATGAGTATGAGCCGTGAGCCACCTTCGAGATTTGATAATCATCGTGAGTTTACCAATGAACATTTTGGTACCGAAGGACAGCCGTTGGAATATCGCAGAGTTGAGCCAATTCCCAGGACTCAAGAGTTGTTGTCTAAGGTTTTTACAATTGCGGGATTTAAGATGCCCTATGTGAGTGATGTGGTGGGCAAGCTTCCCCAAAAGGAATCAAAGTCCTATGCAGTGCGGTTCTTCAAGAGGTCACCCGACTATGTCATTCGCTCGAAGAAATCCAAGGATGTGCCCATCATTCAGCACGTATACAACGACATGACCCTTGATATGAATTTCATGGAAGAGGAATCCGGCGGCAAGGACAATGCTACCGGTTTTCTGTCCAGTCGTTTTCGGGAAAACATCGGCAAGGAGTGGACTAAGGTCTATCGGGGCAGAGACTATCCTAGCTGGGATCGTTGGTGGCAGGATATCCGAAATATCGATGTAGATAAACGATAAACGAGCAGGAATGGCAATAGTTATCTGGGGAATATGAAGGTGGTGTTTAACCTAATGGACCACACTCTCCTCGGAAATCTGCAGGACATTATTCGCTCGGTGCCCAATCATTTGTGGATCTACAGGCTGCGCTGCATGATCTACATGTGGTATAGCTTCAGTCGGGTTATGAAGTCCACGGACACCGACGATAGGAACTACCAGGTAATCCTAAAGGAGTGGAACGGCCCCGTCATCCACTGGCTGGCCAAGCAGGCCTTCTGGGAGCTCCGAAATATCAGCAAGCTGGAGTATCCCGAATACCGCGATGTCTACGGCAAAAATAGCAAGGAAGTCAAGAAATAAAATATTTTATGCTTGTATTTTGAAGAAAATAACAAAATCAATCAAATATTTAAAAAAATAAACTCCATAACTTAATGAATTTCGTTTTTAATTTTAAGAAAAGGCATATCTTACTTTAGTTTTATTAAAACCAGTAATAAAATCCAAGAAATCAAATATTTCGTACTTAATATCGTCTACTTGTATTTAAATCGTTTTTTGCTAGAGTTAAAACTAGTTTCATTAAAACCAATAAATAATAATCAAAAAAGAAAGCAAACTTCGGCAAGCCGAAGTTCATATACTCTTGCAGCTATTGCAAGAATTAAATATTTTTGAAAACATTAAAATTATGATTTACTTGCGTATGTGTTTAAAAACTTGAAGCTATGATGATTTGCAGCTCAATTATTAGATAGTTATTTTATATATTTTTATTGTTCCTATGGGAGCTATATGATATAGTCGTCCGATTTTGATGAAATTTAAACCGTTATTCTGAAATATTCAACCATTACTATATGTCGAAGAACTAAACAAAAAAATTAAAAAACAGCAAAGTTATAATTTTTTTTTATTTATTTTTTCGATTGTTCCTATGGGAGCTATATGCTATAGTCGTCCGATCCGGCTCGTTCCGACTTATATACTACCTGCAATAGAAAGACAACTTTTGGGAAAGTTTCATGCAGATAGTTTTAAAACTGAGAGACTAGTTTGCGTAGAAACGGACGGACAGACGGACATGGCTAGATCGACTCGCCTAGTGATGCTGATCAAGAATATATATACTTTATAGGGTCGGAGATGTCTCCTTCACTGCGTTGCAAACTTCTGACTGAAATTATAATACCCTCTGCAAGGGTATAATGAACTTTTAGAGACATGAACTTCATAAGTATGCAATAAGAATGAGCAAAATGGACTTACTTATTGATTCATAAAAGAAATCAGTGGCGCTTTTATTAAAATTAAAACTTAAAAAAACGGCCCATACATGCATATTTGTGTATGTACCTACTATGTAGATATAGTTGATAGATATACATTTATATATAATTATATATTTTTGTATTTTTAGTTTTTTCTTCGGACAAGATAATTGGCTCAATTAATAATAATATTGAGGAGCAAAATCGTAATTATCACATTGATGCCACTTTTAAAGTTTGTCCTTTTGGAGATTTTAGGCAACTTTTTATAATTTACATTAAAAATAAGCAGAAAGTAAATTAATTCTTTTAATTGATATAAAGAGATTATTGTATTTTTTGCATTGCTTTAGATAACGCCGTTTATATTCACATTGGTGACGCGAAAAACTGAGCTGTGAGAAATAGATATTCAGGGATTTTTAGCTCGCACGGTTTCGCTAAACGATCCTCTCCAGAAGCAGGATATCTTTAACAGTGTGGATGACACGGAAACTAATTCGGCTGAGCTTAATTCTTCAATATCATCTAATTCCTCAGACGGTTCCAATTTAAGTCAGTTGTCGGATACTGCTATTGTCTGTAACAAATTCGAACATTGATAAATTTTGCTTTTGCGGCCTGATCTTGGGCTTGACCACTGAGCGCACGCAATGTTTACCTCGGCTCTGGCTCGTCAGCAATTGGGGTGTTGTTCTTGCTCAGAAATCAAGGCGGTCTAACTAATTATTAAGAAGCGACAAGCAAAAAACTACTTTAAACACACTTCTACATTTTGGGCTATTGCAGTTGGCCACGAGAGGCCAGGCACTTAACTTGATCTGCTACCGCATCTCCACCTCTGCTGTTAATGAGGCTAGTTTTGTCCACCCTTCCATCGGCCGTTCTCCCTTCCCTTCACTCCCGGAACAGCCCCTTCGCGGCTTTGGTTAAAACATTATACAAATTTATTTATCAACTAAGAAAGACAATATACTTACGTTTGGGAGCACTCCATAATTTTTAACGGATATATACATATAATAAATATGGGACAAAATAAATAAATCTTTATGGACGAGGCAAGGAATTTGATTTGGTTAGCTAAGAACCTGACCATTTACGATATTCGACTACAAAAAAATGCAGGGTGATTCGAGTTATCTCTGTTTCTTTCCACTCAATAGTTTTAGTTATATTTTTTTCTAACTTCTTTCTCTTTTCCTTTTGAAGGTTAAAAAAAATGATTGTTTTTTTTACTCAAAATCTATATTCTTTTTGTTCTTCTTTATTCATTTAATAGTTTTTCTCGCGATTTTGCACTGCACCACGAAATCATTTTGCTTTTCATTTTTTTCTTTGAACAATTAAATAAAAACGTATAAGTTTTCGCTCACCTTGACTATCGCTGCGAATCCAACGAAGAAAGCGCTTTCTCGAATGGTCGCTGAAGGCTGTAAAAGAATTCACTTTTTCACGATTAAAAAATCATGGCGCAGGCAAGTCTGGGGATTATTTCTTTTTTCTTGAACTTTCAAAAAGGAACTCGAGGCGAATTTACATTTTTTTTTGCGTAAAATAACAAATGAACTCAAATCACTCTCACATATAAAAATATAAAAGAAATATTAAAACTGATTCTTAATAACTCAATTTTATCACTATTTTCAAAACATTTTTTTTCTTCTTTTTGGATTTTCTCTTCCTTTTCCTTCCTTTTTTTTATTTTCTCTTAAACTTAAATTTTCTTGATTTTAGGGTTAATTCCTTCCCTCATTTTTTTTTTTTTGCTTTTTCTTTTCTTCTTTTTTTTTTACACCGCCAAATTTCTATTTTTCCGCACTACCGATATATCTTTATCTCTGCCACAAGGGGCCACAATTACTTTTAGCACATTAGTTCGGGTCGGGACAGGGGTGAATTATATAATTTAATATTTATTTCTTTAGCACTTTTCGTCGCCGAACTCCTCCGCTCGCTTTGCGAGGCGGTCGCGTTGCCACTGTCGCCCCTCCCCCGAAGCACTCCAGGCGTAGGCGGATTTCGGTGATCGGCTTGAGTGTTCCCACTAGACTTCGCTTCGTTCGGGCGTTGTAAAAATAATACAGCAATGATGCAGGCCTAATGCGAACAAATAAATTTCTTATTCTTTTGCCAACACATTCTTTTTATCTGCCCTTTATCCCAATAACTCACCTAATTTCGTTGGCTCTATTAACTCTTTTAATCGTTGGCTGGGTATAACGTCTCTCTCCCTTCCGAGTGAAAACTTCTGGCACCATAAAAAAACTTTTACCGCAGTCAACCTCTCTGGTGGAAGGCTCAAAGGGAAAAGAACGCTGGTGCCGCCCAATTATGGCGGCAAGCTTCTTAACAGCGAAAGAATAGAAATGCTCTCTCCAGATCAGTGCTTGACACTTAGCCCTGTTGACCCGCCACATTTGCCACGAACTGTTTCCGCCACCTGCTCGCAGATGGCGCCAGAAACTGGGTTCAGTTTATGCTACCAGCGCTACATGTCCAAATGAACCCATGTAATGTGTGCCTATTGAAGTCTAAATCTGTTTTGCTGCGACCATGTAATCATGTAAAAATCTCCGGCTTATGTTGGGATAAAATTGTCGAAAATATTTCCATATTTAGAAACCGAATTGTCCCAGCTGTAATCAGCCTGTTAATGAGGCAATTCGAAATGTTTTTATTTACAATTAAGTAAGAAGTCAACTAAAGTCATGTTAATAAATCCAAAAATAAACAGTTCGAAGTAATACATATTAATGACAAGGTTTTTCTTTGAATCGGGACGGCATGATCCATCTACATGGTGGTAAAATATTTATTTTTTATGTCGTTTGCAGAAGGGCGGAGATATGTCGTTTTTATACGACAATCCTCCGCGTTGATCAACGGGGGAGTTATGTCGTATAAGAACGACATATTTTCGCGAAGATACATACATATGTCGCGCGGAGATCTGACACTATGGCAGCTAATAACGGCCCTTTTGGATGAGTTGTCCAAAATAGGACCAGAAACGACCCATCACGCCTGAATGCGGCCATTAAAGTCAAGGGCTATCATACAAAATACTGAAAATATCTTTAAGACTTTTATGTTAATTATTAAAGACTAAATATAAAATGTATCATTTAAAAAAATTAAAAAGCAGCAAAGTTATAATTTTGTTTTATTTATTGTTCCTATGGGAGCTAAATGCTATAGTCGTCCGACTTTGATGAAATTTAAACCGTAAATTGGAAATATTTAACCATTACTAAATGTCGAAGAACTAAACAAAAAATTAAAAAACAGAAAAGTTATAATTTTTTTCCATTTTTTTCTCCGATTGTTCCTATGGGAGCTATATGATATAGTCGTCCGATTTTGATGAAATTTAAACCGTAATTCCGAAATATTTAACCATTACTAAATGTCGAAGAACTAAACAAAAAATTAAAAAACAGAAAAGTTATAATTTTTTTTCATTTATTTTTCCGATTGTTCCTATGGGAGCTATATGCTATAGTCGTCCGATTTTGATGAAATTTAAACCGTAATTCCGAAATATTTAACCATTACTAAATGTCGAAGAACTAAACAAAAAATTAAAAAACAGCAAAGTTATAATTTTTTTTCAATTATTTTTCCGATTGTTCCTATGGGAGCTATATGCTATAGTCGTCCGATCCGGCTCGTTCCGACTTATATACTACCTGCAATAGAAAGACAACTTTTGGGAAAGTTTCATGCAGATAGCTTTAAAACTGAGAGACTAGTTTGCATATAAACGGACGGACAGACGGACGGACAGACGGACAGACGGACATGGCTAGATCGACTCGCCTAGTGATGCTGATCAAGAATATATATACTTTATAGGGTCGGAGATGTCTCCTTCACTGCGTTGCAAACTTCTGACTGAAATTATAATACCCTCTGCAAGGGTATAAAAAGCAAGCCTTTGAAGTATTGAAATTTAATTGCATTAAATTATAATAATTAAAATATCGGAAATAAATTAAATAAAAGTAATTATTATATTATATATTTGCTAAAATGTTTATTAAACTTTATTATCTTTGCCACGATACTTTTGTTCTGTTGACTCCAATTTATTTGATTCCATCAGTATTTC